TCAGTATCCAAAAATCAGTAAACTATCAGACAAAAAAATGTATCGTATCAGACACCCTGAAACTTTAGCTGATCTTTTATCAATTGCTGAATGATTATTCACTGATTTATGAAGAAGTGTTATATAACTTATTTTTCTGTAAATTATTTTAATTGTTATTATAACTTGCATCAATAATAATGATAAGGTATACAGTGACCAATTAGAACAATTCGATAACAAATCAAAAAAAAACCAATTATTCGCCCGATTTTTAGCAATGTTAATAACCAGTTGACAATCGGTAATCCCGAATTTTAACCAATTAGCTTATCAAAAATAGTGACAATTCAGAAATCCCCGATTTTTAGCAATGTTAATAATCGGTTGACAATCGGTAATCCCGAATTTTAACTAATTAATTTATTAAGAATAGTGACAATTCAGAAATCCCTGATTTTTATCAATTCTAAAAATTGTAAGAATCCATAATTTATTGTTTATAATTTATCAATTTGACAAAAATCGGGAGTATTACCATTTTTTCTTTTTTTTACTTGTGATAATGTCATATAAAATAATAATAATAGAATATGATGTCTAATAATATCATATCATAATAATACATATCATAATAATATCATATCATAATAGTACATATCATAATAATATCATATCATAATAATACATATCATAATAATAATATCATATCATAATAATAATAAATCATAATAATAATAATAATAATAATAATAATAATAATAATAATAATAATATTCTTCTAATAAATAATAAATTTTCACAAAAGAATTATTAATCTTAAAATTTAAACGAATTGAATGTTTGATCACTCCAATAACGAGGAATATCGTCATCATCTAGTGGACCTGCCATGTCGATGTCTGTAACAATTGGAGATGATGTACCATAATAAAACAGTTCAGTAGCAATCCCAAAAGCATCGTTATTAGTAGATTGTTCGCAATGTACGCTGTCTATGAGATTTGCTTGCGGAATAATGGTAGTCAATCCATTGGTAATATTATCATCTCCATTATTTATCAATGGTTCATCCTCTAATGGATCGAACGTGTCGACTTCAGCGCTGATTGATGAAGAAGAAGAATGAACAAAGCTTTCTAAAGGAAAAGGTGGTGGTGATGTTTGAACACGATTATTATCAGAGTTTTCGAGAAAATAAATTTTTGTTAAATCCGTGTCTTCTAAATTATTCCATGCGTCAGCAACTTCACGTGAAATCTCTATCATAGAGAAAGTTGGTTTATTAGAAAAAGAAATCAAATAGTCAATCGTCATCTTTATAATATCTGGTGGGCTTTCGAGTATGTTTTTTTCCTCTTCTGATAAATTCAATCCTTCAACCAACAATTTTATATTTGATTCCATCTTTTTTTTTTATAAAAGATTATTAGATTATTGGGTTAGTATTTATTTCAGTTTGTCAGCAAGAGCTGTATATTTATAAAGAAATATTATATTCCCACATTATTATTCCACTCACAATTAGAAAATAGGCTTGCATGATTCTTTTTGAATAATGAGATAAAGAACTTCCCATTTAAATCTTGATATACTATTCATTTTTGTAAAAAAAAACATCAATCGGCCATAATTCTTTGTCAACCAAGCCAACTAATCGTCGTCAATTGTAATAATTAGACCTTTTAAGGTTCTTTGATTAATTACTCTTTAGAATTTTGATCAAAGAAAAAAAAGGCCACATATCGATAATTAACTCTTTGCAGTGTGATCGTCTGTTTTCACACGCAATTTAATTAGTCAATGATGGGCCGAGAGTTTAAAATAATTATACATAAAAATTTATTTTTATTTTTTTTTGATTGCATAAAATTACACACTATCCGTGTGCATGTCTTAATAAAACCCCATTAAATGCTTATCTAACATAATTTAGATGCATTTTGTTTCAGATTGTTTTTAATTAATTTCATTTGAGAAAATATTCTTTATACGTGAGCATTAGAAAGAAATACATAAAGTGCATTTTAACAACTATTCACTATAGTTGGATAATTAAAAAGAAAAGTTATCATCAGTATCCATAATATGTTGCCATAATTGAATAAAAATCATTTCTCTATTATTGTTTTTATATATATATAGTAATAGTACTGAAATATTTTCGATTTGGCGCCACTTGATACGCCCTGATTGAATTTTAAGGGGTGGTCACAATTTTTAAACGAATTGACGTACAAAAAAAAAACAGCAGAGTAGTCTAACTTTTTATTCAGATATAGAGAAACACTAAATAAAACAACAACTTAACATCATATAATCTTGTTTAACGATCTTACAAAGACAATTCAATTGAACTTGCAAAGACCATCCGATAAACTATTCCATTTAATGGCCATCGACTAACTTTTAAAAATTTTATGAAAATTACAAGGACAATGATATATAGATTGAATTCAAATATGATCTTCACATTAGAAAGCGATACTCTCGGAACTAAACTAAGGAAGATAAAGGGAGTATTTCGCCAAGAAGCCATATATTATGATGACTTATTGCCTCATCTAGTTTATTTGAAAATACCTGGTTTATTATTATTTCAAAGGGTTGTTTTGAGTGGTTAGAAGCCGTGGGTATATTAAACAACTACATCAAAGAATTATTCAATAAAGATATTTCCGGAAAATACTATCTATTCTTTTTAAAATATACCATTTACATATGCCTTTGTTCTTTCGTTGTCATATTATTTTCTGAATGAATATTGAGAAAGTAAATTCTGTTTCTTGTAATCAAGTAAGACAAAAAGGAAAATTTAATTCAGATCGAATATTCAATTGAAAAAAAAGAGCTAGAATTGTGGATTATTAAAACTATTTATATAAATGGGAAACAAAATAATATTGTTGTATTAATCCAATTAAATATGGAGGCGTTTGTGCATGAAATTCCTTCTAATTAGCTAATTTCAAATTCACATACAACAACAACATCGCCAAAGCTCAATTAAACGACTGCCAAAGATTTAATCATCATTCTAATTCTTATCGGGATGACACATGTTGTGCCAACTGAACATTCATTTGTCTCAATATCTATTCTATCGATTAATTTAGACAATTAATTTTCTTTCGATACCAAAAAAAAAATTTTTAATGGTTCAGGTGTAAATTTTATGACAAAAGCGGATAATTTACCATTTAATATTAATATAATGTGGCAAGCAACGTGATATTCATTAAAATTAATGATTACGATTCCTCTGATTTTCGCTTCAATATCACGAATGAATTGGTTCTATCTAAAATATCGATAACAAACTTACCTGTGCATTTCTATCCATAATATCCGATTTTACTCGTGTTGGCATCTATCTACCTTATAAGAACTCGTATTTATCAGTAAGCAAAAATGCCTCAATTGCTTTTCTTTACCTTCAATCATATTTTTCCTTTTAAATATAGGTAATACCATAGTGCCATGAAGTTAACTATACCTCCTTGCTGATGTAATCAATTCTTTTGACACCTAATGCATGTTTGCAATAAAATAATAAAATAACAACTCTCCCGTATCAATCGCCTTTGACTCTGATTATAATTCTTCGTAATTAAACTCACCAGAAATTATGGATAAACAAATCCCAAGACCTTTTTTTCATTTGATAATTCTATATATTTAAAATACATTATTGGTAACTTAGAATTTTTATGTAATAATTTACTTTTACAATTTTAATTGAGAGATTTATAAAACATAAATTTTACAATTCAACATAAAAGTGTAAAGTATTAATTAATTGAGAATTCTGGTCTTAATACTTTGCATATCTTGATTACAAGACCTATACCATGTAAAATATTACTAAACCATTGTTCTCCAGTTGAGTTTACTGCGTTAATACCCCTAAATTATATATACGTTCATACACGTGTCGCAAAATTTAGAATGTTGAGGAATTTTATTTATTTGTTTGTTTACTATTATTATTTACATGTAAAATATGCCTTGAGAACTTTCTTCAGGGTGCATGTTGACTCTATTCTCCCTGGGGAAATAAACCGGTTCTTGTCCTTTAACTTAAGATCATGCTTGCAGCTCTATGAATCTGTATATGATGCACTGGAGATCACTAAGTCCTCACTCTTTGATGTATAACTGCTATCCTAGACAATCCACCGGTGGTAATGTCTCAGCCAGTAAATTGGAGTCGTCGTAGCCATTTACTATTAATATTAACAATTTACAATCGCTTCATTAGTAGCAAAACTAAACACAAAAATTTATATATATATAGTAAATTGTAAGCGGAAAATTTTGATTTTTACAAAATCGATAGTCTGACCGTTATCGAATAAGTCGAACTGTTTCCAACAGGTTGATTTTCATGATAAGAACGACACCATCAATTTGATTTTCTTCACATCGGTGATTCATCTGAGATAGACTTGAAGTGTTGACCTCACGCCGTTAATATAAACCACTCAGGATCAATGCCAATTATTTTCTAAATTTCAGATTTACGAAAGGTACAATATCTGGATGCTGACACATCACAGTCTCGATTACATTGGAATGAGTGTTACTATTAATCGAGTATTCAGCGAATATTTGGTTAATCGGATATTTGATTTTTCATTGGTTGATTGACCGAACATAATAAATAAAATGAAGTTTTCTCACAAATAAATTCATCTGTTCTAATTAATTAAATTAATTATCTCACTTCCATTCATTTAAGATGGAAGTAATAATACATAATAATGGGAGGAAAGTATTCTGCTGCTCATATTTTGAAAAAAAGAAAAGTAAATAGTAGTTCTAAGAAGTCAAATTGGATATGGAACTTGGCGGAAGAAACTGAAATTGTAAAAAGATGATGGAAAAAAATATAAAGGAGCTATTTGCCGAGTTAATATCTCTGAAGTTTTGGATATTATTGTTCGTTGTAATTTTGTGATGAATCTACATCTAAAATATATTACACATTTATGGGAAATATAAAAAGAATTTTTGAAAAAAAAATTGATAATTTTGATAGAATGTAAAATGATTAATAAATTCAAAATTTTTCGCTAACAATGGAAAATTAATTGAATGAATCCGAATCTACTCAATACCCATCATATACATATCAGTCAGTATGTACAATAATTGTGATAATAGGAATTAGTAACAATAATAATATTGAGAATAAAGAAGTAAAAAGAAAGAAAAAAAAAAAGAAAAAACCATCATTACTATATTTAATCATCATTTATTCGTTGTATACGAATTACTTTATTGTTATTACTATTATTATCCAATATCATCATCTATTACTATTTTCATTAAAATTTATTGAATGCTGTTACTTTTCGAAAATTTGAATAATCTTTTTTAGTTTATTAGCATTGGATTATTATTGTTGATATTGTCAGTTTTATAATTCCCTTCAATTCATTAGTAATAAATTCATCAAGCTCTCCAATAGTTGGTCTCTTGGATCTATATCCCAACGCCCTTGGATAATCAACAGGCAATCCTGGTAATATTGACGGTCTTAAGCCTTTACATATCTCTATTAATGTTTTTTTTGTAAAAAATGGATATTAAAATAATATTTGATACTTATAATAATATATATGTCAAAAAATAAAAATTTGTCTTTTTAAATTTTATTTGTGTAATTTTATTAGTAATTTTTGTATATAGTAAAAGCAAAAACGAATTATCTCGATAGCTCACAAAAACCCACCTTCTAACTTGAGATAAATGAAAGAGGCGCTAAAAATACACCATACGAGTTCGTCGGATATCCAGTTAACCGCAAAGACTATTCTGTAATTTTGTGGCAAGTGTGCGTGTAAAAGTATGTAGAGTTTAATTAAGGCTATCTTTCGTAATATTGTACGTAATCTAAACGTATTAGCTCCATTTGACAGAGTGAAACTTGGAGAAGAAGGTTTAAAACATATTAATATAGTTTTTTTTATCAGAGGATCTGCATATTGACGATACCCTGTGTAATTTGTCCACCTTTAATAATTTATTCTTGTATGAATTTTAATTATTTATTAGAAAGTAAAAAAAATTTATAAAATTAATGTCAACAGAATCATTGTCAACAACCTTTAATCTTCCAATTATTGACCTTGGTGTATACCTGAACGATAAGAATTCTGAACTGGCAATTGAAGAATGTCGTAAAGTTAATAGAAATCAAAAAAATTTTTTTATTTTATAATTTTACCACAAAAAAAAACCACGAAAAATAAAACTATTATTATTATTATTATTGTGTGTATGTGTATTAAATATATGTACTTGTAGACAGCAAAAGCGTTAAAGGATTATGGTGCCTTATTGGTCAAAGATCCTCGTGTGACGCAGGATGATAATTCCAGGTTTTTAGTAAGCGTTTTAAATATATATGTATAGTAGTTGAATATATTACTGTTCACTGTCCATTCAACAAATGTTTTTATAAATTCTAGGATTTACTTGAAGATTATTTTGATCAACCTTCTGAAGTATTACAATTATTAATTATTATTATAATAGTTAATAGTAGTGTTTATTATCACTGGTACAGTATTATTAATTGAAATATCAAAAAAAAAAAAAAAAAAAGATAAAACTTAAAGATGCATATCCAGAAGTTGGATATCAAATTGGTGTAACACCTGAATTGAAAGAAGGACCAAAATGTCATCGCGATATTAATTGTCAAAAGATAATCGAACAGGTAAGTAGATATGTAAAATGATCATGATAACAATGATGATGATGATGATGATGATTTATTTATTTATTTATTTTTTTTAAAGATGCCAAAAGAAAGTCGACCTTTGATTTCGAAAGGACCTGATCCAAAATGGAGATTTTTTTGGAGAATTGGTGAACTTCCCGAGAAAACCAAATTCCCACAACTTAATTCTGAGCCTGTTACGCCTGAAGGTTAACGTTTGAAGAAATCATCAAATTAAATTATCATATTGATAATGTGTTATTAATAATTTAATAAAATATTGATCAATGATAGCTTTTAAGGATGTATGGCCGACAATTATGAATCAATGGGGTGAACAATTATATCAAGCTGTTGTAGATGTTGCAGAAATGACATCTGTTGGATTCGGAATGCCTGCAGATTGTTTGCCAGATCTTACAAAAAAAGGACCACATCTTCTAGCACCTACTGGAAGTGATTTAAACAAATATGGAAAACTTGGGACCATATTAGCTGGTGAATTTGGCTTTATTTTTTTATTTGGAAAATTTTGAAAAAGGTTTCTGGTGTTTAAATTAATAAATATATTTTCTATATATTATGAAATTTAGGATTTCATTATGATTTAGATTTTATGTATGTTAAAATAATTAACATCATCATAATCTTTATTCGTCTCCATCATTAATATCACCATAATAACCACCATTTTCATTTTCATCTCCATAAAGAACTATTCATGGTAAATCACGATTTCCCGGGCTGAATATTTGGCCACGTAATGGATCGAAAAAAATAAGTGTTCATGTTCCAGATGGTCACTTTTTAGTTCAAGCTGGCAAACAACTTGAATGGTTGACTGGTGGCGAGGTCAAGGCTGGCTATCATGAAGTTGTCGTAACAGAAGACACAATCAAGGTAACTAACGAGATGAATATATATATACTATATTTTATATTGTAAACACATGTATATTAATTCAATCAATTATATTTAGGTTATTGAAAATGCAAAGAAAATTAGACCGAATAGACCATTATGGAGAGTTTCTTCAACTTTCTTTTTACATATTGCCAGTGACAATATTTTAAAACCCATTGAACCTTTTTTTAAACCAAATACTTCTCTCTATCCACCAATACTAACAGGCAATCAAGTAAAACATGAATTGGATTTAACTGAATTAAAGTTTAAAAATTGAAAGAATTTCATTTAATAAATAAGCACAAGAAATTAATTTGCTTTTAGTCATTATGTTTATCCTTTTTGCAGTGATGTGTCATTGGAAGAAAATTGGAAGGGATTGGAACTTCCAATCTTCAAATGATGGTTATACGTTATTAATACCAGTCAAAAATTAATCATGTGATGGTGATAATATACACTGTGTTATTTTCCTTACCAAAATCTACAACTTTATTTTTACACTATCTTTATCTTCATTGTCTGTTAATTGATAATTTCTTCCACTTCTTGGCCTCCAATTTTACTCAAAAGTTAATGCAACTTTTTAAATTATTTTAACTTGTGGCCTTTTGTTGTAAAAGTATGTTTATGTGTCTAACCCTTCATAGCAACCAATGCAAACAGCATTTGTTTGTTTGCCTAATGCTTTAATATATCTTGTCAGACAATGGCCTTTTGGCTTTGTCATAATTGATTTGAGAAATAAATAAACCACTTAATATTAATTATTTTTAACAAAATCTTCCTCAATTCATTTCCCCAGTTCAACTACCCATGTCAATCACCTATGGTTTGCGTGTATTTTTTTTACATTTCACCTTTCTCTCATGCTTCCCCAAAAAATTAGTTTAGTAAAATCCATGAATGAAAGACTTTTCTGCACTCAGAAATTATTATATAGCAATAATCAACTAATATAGTGTTCCATGTCGCAATCCAAAAAAGGAAACAAAATGGTCGTAAAGGTGGTAGCAACCATCATCAAAAGTTGCAGCCGGTATCCTTAAACTAATAGTAAATACCTTTGATAAAAATTTCCACCTTGAATTTTAATTTTATTGGCTGGAATGTACTTCAATGTACATTATTTCCTTTTTTGGAGACGGATTTATCATGTGATTATTAGCACCTTTCTTATATTCCACACCTACCTCAATTTCATTAAACCCCTTTTTGAGTATAGATAACCACATTTATGCCCATCACCAAAATAATAAATCATACCAAAACCATGCAGAAATGAAACCTTTTCAAGAACATGATTTCAAAGCAATAAAATAATGTGTGTCTATCCAGATCCCTGGGATTTACAAAGACAAATAAATCTATTAGACCATAGGTTTGGCTGAATAGTTGCTGTTAGGGAGGATCAAAAAAATATTTTTCCTTTCCATGTATAATTCCTTATGAATAGAATAATAAATCTGATATTGACCACATTAGATTTAATAAAACTTTCCCATCACAAACATGTGGTAGTGTGTTCTCACACACCTCATAACTGTGGAATTTATACAGGTGAGGATTCCCACATGTTGGAAGGTTTTATGAGATTCCCTTACTTCTCCTCAGGCCAGGCTTGGCTGTTATCATACATCCATTGATCATTGATGAGAGTTGACACTTGTGTGATGTTTACTTTCACTCCTTTCTAAACTCCCCAAACTATTTGAAACCAATTTCAAAGAGGGTTTTTAAATAGTGTCTAAACTAGTTTCAAAGCACAACTCTAGCTAGATGCACTTACTCACAAGCAAAAATTTTGACCTAGAGCAGGTGACTGATTGGGCAAATGCTCATTCCACCATCCCATTTAAAATTTTTTTTACAATTTTCTTTGGCACAAATGCAATTTCAGAGTCCCAACCCCACTCTGGATTGTCTGAGCTTTAAAGCAAGTTACAGATTCTCATTGCTTCGATAGTCTATATGTTTGCATAACACTCCTAATATTTGCAATTCTTTAAAATGATGCAATCTTCAGAATTGTGACTTGTTTGGTTGCATCTTTATTCTGAAGGTAGGATCACTGCATGCAATTTTCCAGTCAACATGAGCTTGTGCTGTGAGGGAAGATTAGGTAAGATATCCTTGATAACAATGATGCAATCTTATGATAAACTCCAGAGCCACATATACCCCCTGAAAATTTAATTGCATCATCATACCTCAGGGCAAGCTAGTCAGGTTAGCCTTGTGAACACAAGGAAAAGGTAAGAATGATTGTAATGTCTTCAAGGTAGCATGTGTGCCCTGACAATTGCCAAATTTCCAATAATCAAATGTTACATATTGCCTGCAACAGTCATGTCACCTTGACATCTTCTTGTAATTATATATTTAACATTAATATTATTAATAATGATTATATGAAAAAGCAAAACAATATCAAATGTTGATCTGCTATCTTGACAAGAATTTTCTATAGTTGGCTTGGTCTAAAGACCTCCTAAATTTTGGGCAAATTTTAAAAGTATAGAAGTCATTTTCTGTTCTACCTTTTAAAAAAATAGCCTCATTAGTTGGTAAAATAGGTTTCTACTTTTAATGTAATGAAGAGATTTTCTCCAA